GGTTGTATTCGACATGAATCAGTGGAGAGTGGTAATCGAAAAGCGTTGATGTTTGAACATCGTCAAGTACTAGAAATGCGAGCTGAATTTATTCGACGATGCCAACAGCCCGAGAGCGTTATTATCATACCGTTCAGTTATACACTCATCGATCGTTGGTGTTCTCAGATTCGGCGATGTTGTTATACTTACCGTCGTGGGCGTTGGCTTTGTTGTTTATGTATTTGCGTATGCGCTATTATTCTTTTGATTTTAATTTTAGTTTTCCTATTACGATGATAAGCGTAGGAAGCTGACTGATGAGTAAAAAGTGTCACGAGGTACCGTGTAAAATTATTCTTCAAGATTTTCCGCTTATGATAAATCTTGTTTTTTCAGTAATTATAATCACGATTATAGTGTTTATTATGTTTTAGATTTGTTCGTCGTCACTTTTCGTTACCGACGCTTTTTAATACAAATAACCTCGTTACAATTGATTTTTTTCGAAAACAGTAATTCGGATTACTTATCAAGAAGATATCAGTATACAATGGCACGATCTACTGAAACTAATTCATCAGCACGAAGTTAGTATTAATTTAATATAAGCATTCTTTCTCTTTCGTAAAAAACAGATAATATTAACGTTAACTTATTATTATAGTGATATCATTGTCAGTTCTATTTAGAAAGTGTAATCTTCAAGCATTGTTATATTTTTGTGAGTACTTTGGTATTCTAGAAATTGACTACGTAATTCATTCGTGCATCTCTAATTAGTGATTAAAAAGTTTATCAATGCTCTTCAATTATCTAAAAAAGCCTCGCGAAGCTATAGAGTTTTCGTAACATTCATCTACTGATTAATTTATCTGTGATATAAAGCTTATTCTCAGTATTTCAGCATTTGTGCCATATGTCTATGAATTCATTGATCTCATCAAAAAGCTTACAATTGTTCTTTTGTTTAAATAATCATTTCGAATATAATAATTTTCTTTATCATGGTTTGCATAACAGCACAAGTTGAATTACTTTCAGCTAGTGGCGTAACCACACTGGGGCCAGATGGGGTTTAACCCCATCACCCGAATTTTTTAGTTACTAAACTTGTCAATCAAAAAGTCCAAAAGACTATCCATGTAAAAAAAAACTACAAAAATAAGATTAAAATCGATTTTTTGAGAAACATCAAGAAAATCTGACGAAAGCTGTCTAACAAATCGTTTTTAATCGATAATATAAGGTCTGATCGATTAAAACTGATTGAACCGTAACACATAATAGATTTTAACAGATTTCTGTTATGAAATCGATTTAAATCGATTTTTATAAAAGAAAGTGATTTTCATTGATTAAGCCATTGAAAATAATATATTTTAATCGATGAATTCTCAGTAGATAATGTATTTCAACAGTTTTTCCTAACAAAAAAAATCGATTTTAATCATAATGAAGGAAAAACGTGTATTTCTCTAGTTTCCGACTATCGAACAGACTTCTCGACCTTGTTTTCAGAATCCTTGCATCGACAAATAGTAAGTACAATGGTAGAGCAATTTGTGATACTCTTATCATATTTCCAGGTATGATATAGCTCGATATTCACTCAGTTACGCAAGAGTATTGATGACCCTGATGAAATTCGATTATATTAGAAAAATGCATAAAAATCGATTTCTATTGATTTTTCAGAAAAAACAAATTTTAATTGATTTTTTGTCGAGTAAAAATCGGATGTAAATCGTGTCATTTAAATAGGTTTTTCATCATCGAAAAATCGATGAAAATTAGATTTTTTACGTTTTTTTTTACATGGGATAGATAGTTATGGGGCTGAGCTCGATCATCCTTAAATTTCTGGTTACGCCACTACTTTCAGCTTTCCGAATATTTCTATAAAACCTGTTATATCTCTGTATGGCATTCACAGGTTCTCAGGCTTTCCGCAAAACTGTAGTCTAGTACGTTAGACGACTCATTTTTGAAAACTTTCGATTTCAATCGACATATGTAATAGCAGTGTCTGAATTAATATGAAGTTTACATTTGAGAATACATGTTTCCATCAAATCATAATCGATAAGAAAACATATACACTTTAAAACATAAAGAAGTATCGATATAAAACGTTCCGACGCATATCAACAGATTCAAAGTCTGAATATTCGAGAAAAAAGAAAATAACATGAGGCCTCCTTTCTAAAAAAAGATTTGTGTTCATTGTTCTCAAAAGAATGTTCTCTTCTATAGACAATACAGCATGGATGGACGAAGAAGATGAACAGCTGAACTTCGACGGAATGCTAACTGAAGTTACAAAGTGGAGTATGAACCAAAACAAATTTCAATTTCGACAAACGGTTACTCACAATCTTCTTCTCATGGGTAAAACTCGTACAGGAAAAACGACTGTGGCCGAAGTACTTGCTGATCCTTGTTATGTACCACTTGATGCTAAACTTCATTCGGATACAAAAGAAGTAACCATTCATCCAGTTGTTGTAACAATGGTTCACGAGGATCGCATCTACTGCTTCAATGTCGTCGACACACCCGGCTTGTATGATAAGGTAAAAAATAGAGTCACTCCACTATCAAATGAACGAATTAAAGTTGTCATTGATGAATGCATTAAGAAGGATGTTACTAATATGCATCTCTTTGCCTTTGTAATTAGTTTGAAAGGCAATGTAGATACAGAAGATATTAGTTCGATGAAATTCATTATGAAGAACTATCCAAAACTTCATCCGCACATTTGTTTATTAGTAACACATTGTGAAGGAAACTCTGCAGAACAACGAACAGCAAAAGTGAAGGAGTTTTTCGAATCACAAACAGTGGTTGCACTTGGTTTGAAAGAATTTTTTGGACAAAATATTTATTATATGGGTTCCTTACGTCCAGAACTAAGAACTAATCCAGATAAACAATGTGTTCGTCAACAGATGCGAAATATTCTTGAAATGCGTGAAAAATTTCTTGAATACATCATTAGTATTGATGTCAAAAATTCTTTCAACATCCATCGTCTTGACGTTGCGGATCCAGCCTGTAAGATACTCTAACAACAGGTATTGGTTGTATTCAGGACTATTTTCTTCTAATTTTTTTTCAAACTGAACAATCAGGCTTTCTATAGAGCCTAGTTGGGCTCAAGAATCTTACTAGACGTGATATTTGTAGTGTTTTCTATCAACAATAGTCTATCCTAACTACGCTTTATATGTTATGCAAATAATTGTTATTTTAATACTCTGTGTGTGATTATATTAGCTAGCCTCTTCGTTTCTTTTTGCTTAACCATACCGTGACAGTTACAAGTACTTTTCAAAATGTTATTAGTTTGAAAAACACCGAAAATCTAAGATATTTCTAATTATTAGCTTCTGAGCATTTTCGTTAGATCCGATTAAATCTTTTGAAAATTTGGAAATGTTGGTAGACATAACTTAGAAGTTTTAACTCTCACACTATTGAGCTCTTTCTCAGTGTTGTTTACATGTTTCTGTTTCTGATAATTTAGTTAATGTATTTTATCAACTGAAACTCATATCCTGTTCTTTTATTACAAAAAAAATCAAACAAGATTCTTTAGCATTTTTCTTTATTAATGTATATTTCTTCAGAAATCTTACTTTCAGATTAATTTTAATCAAATATAGATGCATTCGACCGAAAGATTGAGTGAAGATCCCCAAGTGATTCTTAAAGATCTACATCGTCTACGAAATCAACATCAAAACTATCTCATGCCATATGATCAACCAAAGCAAACCATCATTCTTCTTGGTCGCTCAGGTGTGGGAAAAACGACTATTTCCAATGTCATCAAGGATAGTCTTTATTATTCACCTCGATCAACATTCTCTCATCCAATACAACAACAACCAGACCCTCAACAAAAAGGTGGACTATCTATCATCGATGCACCAGATATATTCGATGTTCAAAATCGACCAAGCAAATGTGAATTAACTGAAGGAGGTCTTCGCGTGGATCACTTTCATATTCCATTTAATGATAACATTCTTCCACTGTTCGGACTTGTATTCAGTATTCAACAAGGTATTAGTTCAGCTGATATTGAAGCCATACTAAACTTCAAAGCTGAATTTGAACAATTAAGTCGAAAGATGATATTAATATTGACTCATTGTGAAGAA